ATAAAACTGCTGACTTTATTTAATACTGTTAAAAAACATTTGGTCTGTTCATATAATCATCATCACATGAATACGATGATGCAGGAATCTAAATGGGGTAGTCACTGTTGTGCTAACGTTTATCTTATTTCTTTGCACATGACATTCCATATCAGAATCATAAAGCAGTATTGTGGTTAACTTGTTATATCAGATTTAAAACTGAATTGAAAACTTTCAACTTATACTTAAGAAAAGATTATTATTAAAAAAATAAGATTAAGAAAGAAAAAGATTATTATTAAAGTAAAAAGAAGAAGATTAGATTAAAGAAAAGATTATTATTAAAGTTATTAAAGAAATGGGGGAGGGGAAGTATAGAAAAATTACTAAAATATTCTCTGACAAATTCTCTAAAAATTAATTTTAAAAATCATAACTTAAAACACTAAACACAAACCTTAGCTACAGAATCCACGATTTAACTTCAGTCATTTTATTTTGGAATAATTCTAGTTTAATAAATTAAATAAAGCTTGTGTATAATGTATACTCTTAAAATATAATTATGATAATTCATTAACATTTTATGTATAATATAATATCAGCTGCTTTATTTTCACGACTTTTTCATTTATCGCTTTCTTACAGAAAACAGGCATGCCTTTTATAAGGACACCTTTATAAAGGTGCAAGCACTTTAATACCACACACTCATGTGAATGTTTCTATTTTAGAGTACAACATTTGACTTGCATAAAGGTGTTGGCATCATCACTATACTTAAAAATTCCATTAGCACTTTTCAGTTTTCCAATTAAACTCCACTGGGTGTCAAACATTATTTTGCATACCACTGGTCATACACAAGAGAAAAATTGGTATGCAAAGAAACAAAGCATTTTTAACTATTAAACTCAAAAATTAAATACCTCCAACATCCCGTTTAAGTATTTTCTTGCGATCTGAGCTTTGTTCAAGGTTAATAGCTCACTCATAGCAAAAATATCAGTTTTTATTTTCAGAAATATTCTTTGAGCCATAGGCATAACAAAATTTGTCATAAATGATGTTTTTAAAAGGAGTAATAGAAATGGATGTTGTATTTAATAGAAAATAAAAAATAAGTTCATATAAAATGATAATAGCATATCATGAATCTTTTAGAGTTGATCAATTTATTAGCATGTCTCAATTTTATGTAGCCACCATATCCGGACTCATATTACCCTATTTGAAATTAGAATCATTTTTTTTTTTAATGTTGATTTGCTGTCTCTAACAGCAGGTATTTTGTCTTCTTGTTGTTATTCCTTACTTTATAAGGTATTTCTCCTTCATGGTGTAATGCCTAGCACACTCGGCGCGTATTTGAGAGGTCCATGGTCCGATTCCTGGCGAAGGCATTGCTAATTTTTCATCTCCCCTGCTTCAAAAATCCTAATGTCTACAACTTTTCTACGTGATTTGAGAAAATTGTAGTTTGTTTTTGAAGAACTCATAATATATTGTGTAATTTGTGAAAGAATAATAAACAAACCTAGATTTTTCAAAATGGAAAAATGGCTAGGATTGACTAAGCAGAAAAGTTGATCCACTAACACTAAGTTGTTGATTCACATGTGATGTATCCAGGACAATCCACTAACACTAAGAATATTGAAAAGAAAAGAAAAACTATTTATAGAAAACATAATGAAAGTTATTTATCATTTGGGTTTACATAGAGTGGAGATAAAATGGACCCTCAACCTCATTGTGTTTGTGGTGAACAACATATTGAGGTATGAAAGTATAGCTTCTTAAAAGACATCTTTAATCTAAGCATGCCAATTTAAAGGATAAATCTGAAGAATAATTTAAGAGGAAATTATCGTAAATCAAAAATAGTAAACAAAGTCAAAATAAACGTAATCAAATCAAAATGTAAAATGAGTAAATCAAAATAGTAAACAAATAATGAAAGGTTTTGTTACTTCAAGTAAAAAAGCTTTGGAAGTTAGTTACCTAGTAAGCTAAGAATTGCTAAGGCTAGGCAGGCTCACACTACTGGAGAAAACCTTATACAGTACAAAGTCTGTAATCCGAACTCGTTGGGACTTCGGCAATTCCGGATTATAGATCATCAATTTAAATCTGGTAAGATGGCATGCAGAAATTATACAATTAAAAATATGAAATAAAGAGCAATTATGATCTAAAGGGTATCAAATTTTACAAAAAAAAAAAAAAAAAAAAAAAAAAAGCTTAATATTTATTTGTTTACTTTATTAAACATTTCTTTCAATGTGTGCATGTGTAAAGCATTCTTTACATGCATGCGTAAAGTTTGTGGCTTTGAGGTCCAGATTATAGATCATTCCGGATTACGGACTTTGTACTGTGTAACCAGCATCTAAAGATAGCGTTTTAACATTATTCAATGAAAAGAGGCTAATGAACTTAATAGTATTCCGTTATCAAATGATACAGTAAGTCGACGAATTCATGAAATGACAGATTCCATAAAAGAGACACTTATTCAAACCATAAAACACAGCGAGTATTTCGCATTGCAATTCTATGAAGTTCACATATGCTTCGAAGAAAGGAAACGAATTGCCAATGAGTATTTATTTTGTGAATCTATTTATGGTATAGCAACTTCAAATGAAATTTTGAATCTGAGAATGATATTACTTGAAATATGTGCACTGCCTTATGCAGTTACGGAGCTTGTGTTTAACAAGAAAACATTCCAGTGTTATTTTCTCAAATAAAGAAAGTCGCACCTGAAACTAAATTTACTCACTGCTTCATTCATCGTGAAGCATTAGTAGCCAAAACAATCCCCGAAAATTGTTAATTTTATTAAAAATCAAGCTTTAAAATTCAAGAATATTTATGATTTTATGTTAAGAGGTGGGCAGTGAACATGAAATGTTTTTGTTATATTCCGAAGTAAGGTGGTTATAAAGAGACAAAGTTTTAAATAGTCTTTTTTAACTTTGATTAGAAATTCATATTTTCCTCTGCGATTCAAAATTTGAACTACAAAAGAGTTTGTTTAGTGAATTATGGTTGGTGTATTTATCATATTTAGCTGATATTTTTGGAGAGTGAATTAAATTTAGGATTACAAGGACAAAGTTTAATTTGTTTATCATTAGAGATAAAATAAATGCAATGATAAAAAATCAGGGTTGTGGAGTCGGTAGGGAAAATGACCGACCTCCCTCATATATTTAAAGGATATGCATATACATAACATAGGATATGCATATATTTAAAGAAATAGATTAGTAAAATATATAAGGATTCAGAGAATTAAATAGGCAGGACACATGTGCAGAATGGATGAAAATCGAGTAACTAAAAAGATCGGGTAGAGTAGACTTTAAGGTACCCTTTGTATTTTGGTGAAGTTGTTTGATTTATCACCAAGTTGTTGTTTCATTTATGGCAGCCTGAGTAGTTTAATATTATGGAAAACCTAATGTGACTAATCGGTGCGTGATTTTGGGAAAGTTGAATCATGGATATTTGTAAGCGTTTTGTGTGTGTATTGGGTTGATTCTTAGATGGTAGAATGGCCAATGTAGTAAGATTAATTTGAAGTTTCTATAACGTTTTGGAGTGAAACGGGAAAGAGCTTTACGACTGGTGTTAAATGAAAGTTTACTTAGTAGCCATTATAAGTGTCCCTGTATGTAGGAAGGATAGCGTCAATCGAACGTAAAACCATTTAGATGGGTTTGTAGGAAGAAAGGTTGAGAAGTTGTTATGTGCACTCGTCAAAGATTACCTGTTTAGAAGGTCATTTGAGTATGATTGATATTTTGATTTTTACGTGCTGGGTGTACGAAGCGAACTCGAAATCATGGTAAGTGAATATTTGCTTTGGTAGTGCTTAATGTATAACATATTTTTTCCTTTTTTTGCTATTTTTGGTTTCAATTATGTATTTTTTTTGCCTATATTGTAGAATTTGGTGCTCCTTTGACTTTTTAAGGAAATATATGATTGTACATGGACCAGTAAATGGAGGGCACAATGCAAGTTTGTGCAATTCGGGGATTTTTTTTTAAGTGAAACTAGGTCGATGTGTACATGGATAAAGTTAAAAGAGTGTGCAATTCGGGGATTTTTTTTAAAGCGAAAATAGGTCGATGTGTACATGGATGAAGTCAAAAGAGTGCACAATGCCATTTTTGTGCAATTCGGGGATTTTTTTCAAGTGAAAATAAGTCGATGTGTACATAAATACCGAGTTTGTGCAATTGTTTGTCTTGTTATTTTGGCTTTGTAGCGGCGGGCACGAAAATCGCTGCTTCGCAAGCCAAAATAACGAGTCAAGGAATTGCACAAAATCAGTATCCATGTACTGCCAAAAATCACCAAGGGGTACTCTAAACTATAGTTTTACCAAAAGATCTTCTTGGCCAGCCCATTTGGCACCTGAAAAAGAGGGAAACCTACACTTAGGTGGCTCAACTATTTGGAAACAGACTATAAGAATTTTAAAAATAACCAATTGGATGTCCATGGCCAGGGATAAGAAGAACTTGGAATTCGATTCTGAGGAAGGCAAGGGCCCATCCTGGGCTGTCTGGCTATTGAAGAAGGTCGATGTGTACACGGATACCGAGCATATGCAATTCTTAAAATCGCGCCAAGCAGTGGGCGATTCTGAACTTTCCCCCCAAAAAACATCAGAGAACTGCACAAACTTGGCACTGCACACTCCATGGACTTTGTCCATGTACACCTCGATATATTTTCACTTTAAAAAGTCAAAGGAGCACCCAATTCTAGGTAAAAGTATATTTGCGGAACATCCAAATACTCAGTTTACCATAAATGAAACAACAACTTCGCGATAAATGAAACAACAACTTTGCGATAATACAAGGGATACCCTTTAGTCTACTCTAACCCGATAATATTATTACTGAAATGACTTACGAATATCAGAATATAATTTAAATAAAGTAAGTCCAACATTGTAATGAATAATAGCTGAAATATATTTTCTCATTTACCAGAAAAAGTCTCCAAGGGTGCGTCTGAATCTTCATTTTCCAACATACTCATTGCAAATACTGGTCAATGGCTAAAATAACCTTATATAATAAATTTCGTGATTTACGTATATATTTAGTCCACTATACAGATATCCATTTCGATTCCGCTTTATTTATTTTGTAATTACATCTTGAAAGTTTAATAAATACTGCGGCTCTAATCGTCATACATACACACGAAGTAAACAGATATCTTGTTTCGCATCCGCTAACTCTTTCTGCCCGAAGGCAAAAAATCAAGCTTAGATGTCTTAAAAAATAAACTGAAATCATTTTAAGTAATTATCACATTTATAAGTGTTAGGTTTATATTAGATTTTAACATATACTTGAGCAATTGATTATTCCTATCAATTTAATAACATATTTAAATAAATTATAAATATATCTTTTCTTACTTAGGCATAAGTAATTATCATTTCTGTAACTTTATCTTCATTAAGAGACTGTTAGGCTTCTATAATTTAATAACTTGCCCTAATAAGACACAAAGAGTATATTTTATAACTCATAATGATAGTGCTCCATTTAAAAAATGTTATTAGAAATGTTGGTACTTTTTTCTGTTATATAGGCACTGCAAAAAACAGTGTTAAAATATGTGATAACTGCTGATGATAGCAATAATGTGATCAGCTAAGTCATCTTGGTTTTATGAGTGAACTGAGCCAAATATTCATGTGTTATTATTTGTTTATTATACTCTCTTATTCTCATTAAAAAAATGATTTACATGTTGTACAGCTTGGGTTGTGCATTTTTCCAATACTAACCATACTCTGTGCATTGGAGTGCAATATATAAAGCATTTGTAATGAAATCTAGAAAATGTTCTTTTTGATGTCATTTCAAAACACCAAATGTATTTTATTTCCCAGTCCTCTATGAAAGCATGCGGTACCTATTTATCGGACCCTGTTTGACATTCTCATTCTGAGCATATGCCACAGAAATTTAAAGAACAAATAGGCATGATGTTCCATCGAATTAATTTAATGTCTACTAAACTTGTTTTTGGCTGTGCTAAGAAGCATTTCCTAAACAACAAAATGTTGTTCAGACCATGAATATCCTTGAAAAAGAAACTGTCACTGCAATTTTTTATATCCTGTATAGCATGACTTTATACTGACTGCTGTTAGAGATATAGTACAAAGTCAAAGATTTAGAATATTCGTGACATTGGCAATTTCAGATTTGGGATTTTGCTGCACATTAGATCTTAAGTTTGAATCCAGTAAGATGTTAATTATAAAATTAAAAATATGAATATAAATGCTGATTTATGAAATAACAAATTATGTACGACCTAAAGGGAATCAAAATGTACAAAAAGAAAAGCTCAATATTTATTTGTTAGCTTTATTAAAGCATTTGATTTCAATGTAACTTGTTTTTAATTTTTTGTGCTAACACTTTCTGTTCAATTCTATAGATAGAAATTCTTGTTCAATAGCAAAGTTCCCTGGGATTTACAAAAAAAAAAAAAAAAAAAAAAAAAAAAAAAAAAAAAAAAAAAAAAAAAAAAAATGAGGAGGAAGCACTGAAATTACTACAGAATAAGAGGGATTTCTCATAGCTGAAGATTTTGTAAAAATAATCCTGAAATGGATGTGTTTTACCAATTACGATACGCCAAAATAATGTTTCAATCTTAGACCTTGCCCAGAAAAACGTCTCAGATCTCGCACTTGGTTTGAAGGATCGCATCTAAATTTCCTTAGAGCTGTAAAATTTATGTACAATTGGTACCATGGACTGACCTCAGTTGAGTTTTGTAATATGCAGTACTGTTGTTGATTGGAACAAATTATATGCGGACATTTTTCAAACTATTTTATATCTAGGTATGTCTCATGCTTGTTTCTGAAGTCTGTTAATAAATATTTTTTCATCAAATCCTAGTTGATTTCTCATTTAAACTACAACAGTGCACAATCCTAAATGTTGGAAATTATTTCTTACAAATTTTAATTTTTATGAAAATTGTTAAAAATATATAGAAGCCAGAAAAATATACAGAATTTTATCATGCCAGCAAATTGGAGTTAATGGCAATCACATGGACATTAAACAGGTTAAGAGAATTCTTAATCGACATAAGATTTACAATACAGAAGCATTTACTGCAAGAGAAAAATTATTTCTAATGTGTCAGCTAAGTAATTTAACAATTGCAGCGTTTAAATATTAATTACATTGGCAAAATGACAATTTTATGTGCTACCTCTCTTGCGAGAAATTCATCTCATTTTAAAAGCATGAAAATATTTTAAGACTTGTTTTTAATATTTTTTCCCCTCTTATTGTACAACAACGATTATATACACTATAAGTTTGGCATATCGTTGCTATTTTAGGTTATGTGCTATTAATATGCACTACGCACTTGCAGGAACTAACTATCTTGAAATTTAAAGTTTGAAAATTATAGTAATTATTTTAATTAATAGTGTCAAGCTGATATAATTACAGAACAATTTAAAAAATTTTAATTAATCAGATTTTTTAATACATAATGAATGTAATCTTTCAGTGAAAATTTTTATAAACAAAATGGTATAAAGCAAAGAACCATTTACCATTAATTTAAATTGGAAAGGGTTCTCGGATTACAAAACAAACCTTTCAAATTATATTTAAAAAAATTTAAACTACTGAAATATAAATGATGCAATAAATATATAGTCTAATTAGTAATATCTTTATTATTAATTACTCCTTAAAACTTTAAATGGGCAGCAAGTGCATTATAATTAAGGTTGTTTGAGTAAAGATGGTGTTTGGTATCCTGAGTTGTCAAAGATCCGATCTAAAGAAGAACAAGGATCATTTAGCAGTAGTTTACTATTATTTTGAGTAGTGTTTGTAGTGTTCCTATGATTTTTATGCCTGTTTGCTAATAGTACTGGCAATTCAAGTTTATATTGTGTCCAGGTCTGCACAAAATATTAAAAATAACATATTCAATATACAAAAATTCGTTTTCATACATGATCAAAGCATTTTTAAAAAACTGCCTTAGATCAGTATGTTTCCTTAAAATTACGTGTTTCATTTTTGCAGTCATTACATTAAATAAAAATGCTAAATAATAATTTCACATTTTCATTCTAGAAAAATGAAAACCTATGCTTTCTTTTAAAAACCTTAGTTCTTTCTGGGAGTAGATTTAAGACTACTGTAAAAGGGAAGTGGCATAAAAGATATGTGATAGGATTTATTTATTATATCATACAATTCAGGAATAATAAATTTCCATGTATTAAAAGTATTGATTATCTAAATATTTAGGGATTGAGTGGGTTTTCTACTAAAAATACAAAACTTGTCATTGTTCAGATATAATTTCATTTTTTTCTTTCAAATGATTGGTCACATAAGAGAGATTTTTAAGGAATGAACAAAAAGAAAAATGGATTAACTTGCAGAATCGCTCACTTATGTGTTTGGTGCTTTTTACAAGAGTAAGAAGAACTGGATTTTTCTCAATTTTCATTGACTTTTAAGTGAAAATAGGTCCATGTGTACATGGATACCGCTTATGTGCAATTAAAAACGCGCCAAGCTGTGGGGATTTCGCACTTCCCCAGAAAATTTGAGTACCACATATGTTTTTGATGCACTGTATTCATGATAAAACTGTATTATTTTTTAAAAAGTAGAATAAGAATAAAAGGGGTACAGCTTGGTTCCATTTAAATTTCTCTTTACTTTGTGGCGTGGGTGCACTTTAAATAGCATGGAACAAAAAGTCCTCAAGAATTAGTGGGAATGGAAGAGGGATAGATTATTTTTGGATCTATCTCCGCATAACTGCTTCAAAATGAGACAGAGCTGGGCACATAAAATGTCACCAATAATGTGCCCAAGGTCTAAACTAATGACAGACACACAAAAAGTGCCCTCTTGGTCTCAATGATTTCGTGGGCTTAATCTGATATTACTGTCGGAGGAGTCTGTGATTATATTTAGAATTTATCTAAACCGAAAGTTACTATGTGTTATTAATTGCTTCAACATTCAATTAACTTATTATTAAATAATCAATTAGTTTAGTGATTTTTCCTTCTATCGTGTCTGAATAATTTTACATTTTGAAGCTGTCATTTCAATATACATATAGAAACTATAAATTATTCATTATTCCATAATGTAATGGATGAATTAATATGCTTGACAATTGCAATCTAATGTGCTTTCAGCTGTTGCAAAAAAATGCCTCAAGCTCTTAATAGGCAATTAAAATAATGCTGCTATCTTAAGTAAAATTCATGTACGAAATATGAGGTACTGAATATCACGAAAGTAATAAACATATTGTCCATTAGGTAGAACAATTCTATGTTCAGATACATGTTTATGAGACTGCCTTTAACGTCATCATTTTGACGGCATTTACTAACAATGAACTCTGTGTATGTATAACAGAATAAAAATATTACATTATTAATTGTTTACCGGCACAAAAGTAGTTGATGAACTCTTGATGATGAATCAATTGGGCGTAAGCAATTCCACGCTGTAGCAACATCACATCAATGTGAATGCCGAAATGAAACTTTAATCAAAAGTGCACAGATTTTTTTTACATACTCATCATTACGACGTCTTGTATACTTATTATTTTTTTTTAATTCTGACATGCAAACTGCCAAACATTCTTTTTATTTCTGAAACTAGCCTCTTTCTTATTTAGTCGTGCATGCTGACATACATAATTCTTAAAAATAAACTTTGCTCTTCCCGATTTGCATTGTTTTGTTTTGAAAGATAGAATCCCATGCACGTGGGAAAACACTTCAAAATGTATTTTCCAATTCTCCTATCTATTTTCACTATTAAGATCACATCTGATCTCAAAGTCGAAATCCTCTTTTCCTCCGAACTTGGAAGACACTACTTCGTAGGAATATCCATCAAATAAAATTTTATAAAATTCATTTCCACTTCGTTTGATATACTCGCAGCCATCACAAATTTGAAACATAAACCCACAGCGTTATTTCCTTTTGCGCATGCGCTTGGTGTCACAATTTCGCCAAGACCTGATAGATCGCCAAACTTAGTCGCAGGTTGCGTTTCCTAGGGAGAAAGTAAAAATACGCCTCCCGGCTGAGCAAGGTTGGCTCAGCCTTTCGTCACTTGAGTGGGCCGATAAAATGAGGAAAGTTCACTTGGGGACTAAACATCGGGGGTCC